GGGGGGGTTGACTCTGCTTTTGTGACAGCTGCTTTGTAGAGTAAAATGCTTCTTCCTTGATGGATCTGCCCGAGTCCCCTGGCAGGTTCCTGCCCCTGAGTGTCCCCCTGCACCCTCTGCCCTTCTCATGCCCTGAGCAAACTCACCTGTTTGGCAACGTGGAACAGCAGCCTGGCAGCCCCAGGGCCTTTTGTAGCCAGCTAGTCCAAAAAGGCAACTGTAAACACTATTTTCAAAGCTTTTTCTTTTTTTTTTTTTTAATATATATGTAATATATATATTTATATATATGTATACATATATATAGCATTTCTGAGCACACAAAAAAGTACTATAATTCTTTACTTGATTAGCATGGAGGAAGGATCAGAACATTTTAAAGCAGCTAAAGGAGTATTAGGAGACTAACTTGCAAAGCATATTTCTAATTTCACTTTGTGAGAGATTCCTGGGCAACAGGAAGGGCATTTCTATAGCAATGCCTGGCTCAAATCATGATGACTATTTTTTATTTTGTATTCTTATTCATTACTTATTCTGTTACCATTATTTATGATCTTTTATGGTTTTTTTTATTTAAATATTTGGATATTAGGAAAGTAGCTAAACTACATACAGCCAATTGAAGCACTCTACATAATACTTGTACAGTACATCTTTTTTTTTGTTGTTCTGTTTTTTTTTATTCCAGAAATATATTATATATATTATATATATAAGTATTTTTAACTAACTGGAATTTTAAACAGATACTGAGCAGAAGTAAGGAGCCCAAAGGCAAGCCTAGATGTTTTCCTTTTATAAAGTCAAAACAGGGTGGCAGGAACTTTGATATTCCTTCTTTCACCCTGGGGAAAAAACCCAATCACTTGCTCCACAGTGACTAGTACTGTATCCTCAAACAGGTGGAGATTCTGTTAAATCTAAAATAGACAATTTTGTGGGTCCTTGTTAATACTCTGTGCTAGGGTATAATGGGCTGGTGAGTGACACTTTAGCAGATTTTAAAAAAATAACCCACAACCCAAAACACAAACCACCCATGAACTCTGAATTGGTGGTTTTGCTTCCATTGATGATGATGAATTGATGATGGTTCCCACATCTCTGCACTTACCAAATTTGAAGAAGGCATTTAGAGATTTATCAAGAGCCCAGCAGGCTTCCAGGCATTGTCAGGGGCACTGCTAAAACATTGTCTTTGTTATACTGTAATTAGCAGGATCTAGAAGTACCTGACCCTTCTCTTCAGTAGAAAAGACTTAACATTATTTTGAGTCTTCTTAACAAAACAAAGATTTCATTGCACCAACACCCTGAATGTGAGATGAACAAATCCCTGCTGGAGGCAGCATTCTGAGGCAGCAGGGGTTGAACATCCACAGCTCTTTTTGTTCAGCACAGCCTCAAGAAAGGAGCTGTTGTAGTTTTCATGTCAAGATGGGTTGGGTGGTGATTCCCTCTCCTCTGGCATGGTGGTTCCACCTCTGCTCCCTTCCTACTCAAGCTGCACCAGCTGAATTTGCTTTCTGTCCAAAACCGTGTCTGTTCCTTCTCAGCTGTCAGGACCCTCAGCACTTCCACTCATCCCATTCCCCTCCAGAAAGGTGATTTTTTAGTTGTTTTCCCTTGCTGTTTTTGGCAGGTGATAACACAGGTCTGCAGAGGAGCCCTCAATGAGTTATACTAGGTTTCTGTGTGCTTCCAGAAATCCGTGGGATGTCCTGAGATTCATGCAAACTCTGCTGAGCAGGAGTCGTTGGAATCTCTCTAATCTGGATGTTTTGCTCACGTTTGTGCCATCAGTTTTGACCATTTGTGCTAAAAAAAAAGTTGGTTTTTCTTTAAATCACCTCCCTTACCTGTGTCTTCTTTTTTTTTTTTCCTCTTGTCCCTTCCCACACAATTGAAAGGTTTTCCTGCATCTTTCTTATAAATGTGGCTTGGGTTTTTTGGTCAGGATTGAAGCCCAGTAGTAGTACATGTTAACTCCTGGTGTCTGCTTGTTTCAGATTGCTCATGCTTTTTCAGTTTAAGGAGGAAAAAAGAAAATAAAATAAAGGTAGCTTCCAACAGGAGGATACCCCAAAAGAACAGGAGGGATTTGGGCACAGGTGACTTGGAACCCTTTGCTTTGAAGCAGCCCCAGGTACAGTGTGAGTTGTTGAAGCTTCTTGCAGTTCACGTAGTTCCTCGGTGGGTTCCTGTGTCACTCTCTGGTTTGAATGACTCTTGTGTGTGTAAATGCTCATTTGTGATCTATTTTTTTAAAACCAGAGTCACTTCAGAATGAAGCATCCGAGTAGGAGATGAGAATTCCTCACTGGAGACTTTCACAGGGAGCTGTTGCTAAATGCTACCTTCTCATTTTTTTAAAACAACGTGTATATAAGAGATCTTGTTTATTAGACTTGTAAGTAGACATTGAAAATGGCCTTAATTGCAAACCAACACGTCTGGATGCAACTGTCACAAATTAGGGACCATCTAGTGGAGAGAAATCCAGGTTTTGTTCCTCTCGCGCGGGGTGAAGGGAGAAGGAGCCTTTGGGAGTGGGAAGGAAAGAGATGACGTCATGGTGGGAAGCAGGTGACATCATGGCAGGAAGCAGGTGATGTCATGGTGGGAAGCAGGTGACCTGTGTGTGACAAGATGTGCTTCATCTCTGAGCCCAGTGGTGGGCAGGAAAAAGCTGCTTTTAGTGCCGACCCTTTGAGAACTGGAGCAGTTGTCCCACCAGCTCTGGCACTTCCCTTCCCGGGATGAGGCTGGTTCCTGGAGCTGCACTTGGAGAGGGATTTTTTTTCTCCCTCTCCCATTAAGCTTATTATTTTTTTTCCATAGAATCATGGAATGGTTTGGGTTGGAAGGGACCTTTAAAGATCATCTAGTTCCACTCCCCCTGCATGGGCAGGGAAACTTCCCACCAGCCCAGGTTGCTCCAAGCCCCATCCAACCTTTATTTCAGGATAGGGCTGATTTAAAAGCAAACCCAATCTATTAAGTTGTCAAATGTAAACATTAAGTGGATCCCCAGGGTTTTCTAAACAAATAATCTGATTTTTATTTGCAGATTTAATAGAACTATTTTGATTCTCAGTCGTGTGTGAGGGTGAGAGCTGCTGGGTGTGGCTGACCCTTCCTGCCCAGGGACAGAGAAAAGATCATTTAGCAAAAGCAACAAAACCAAACCAACAAAAAGGTATTATTTAAAACAACAAAAAAAGTATTATTTATAACTTTATCAGTTAAATGATGTTGAAACTGTCTGGTGTCTCAAAGGGTCACTGTCCAAACATACCTGCTGAGTGAACCCTCCCCCATCCCCACAACATGTTTTTATATAGATAGATATATATATTAACAAGTTCCCAAGCTAGACTGTTGCATTTGCCAATACAATGGGGAAATAATAGGAATAAACCTTCAGTGTATAAAATACTGTGATACTCAGAAGCAAACCAGCCCTTCTGCTGCCAGTGGCAGCACGTGGAGGTGGGAGAGGGGAGGGCCTTGCACTGTACATAGTTTTTCTGCATCCTCTTTGGAATGAATCTGCACAGACTGAGCTGGTCCCTCCCTGCTGCATGCGGGAGGGGCTGGGGGCAGCCCCCACCCTGCCAGCTCCCTACAGCTTCTGCATGTCAGGGAACACTTCCCAGCCACCCCCCACTCTGCAAAACCTCCCCTGTACAGACAACCTGCCCTTGAGGCTTATCTTTTTTTTTAGGTTTTATTCCTTTAAGAGGGGAAAAGGTTTCCAGAAAGTGGCTGCAAATTAATTGAAGAAATGGTTAATGATCTGTATGGTTTATTACCTTCTTTTCAATTGAATTGATTTTTGTTGGTTTTGTTTATAAAATTTGTGCCTGAGAAAATAAGCCCCAGTGTGAACCTGCAAGGCTGATGGACAAACCTTCAGCCAAAAGAACCAGCTGCCCTCTGAGTTTGCATAAAAGCAGCATCTGTTAACTTACAGAATCCTTTAATCTTCCCTCAAAAATAAGATCTTGACTGTGCTTGTTTGTAAAAGCTTGGATTTCTGTAGAAACAATCATTAAGGCTTTGAGATCCATCCCTTTCAGGAGCTTGGTGCTCACCCTGGAAACCCCCTCTGTAGGAGCAGGGAGAGGAAAGCCCCTTGTCACCCCGTAGGTCACAATGTCCTGCTGTGCTTTCAGGAGCAAAAAAACCCCACAAAAACCAACAAAAACAACAAAAAAAAGGTGTTTATTCCTCTGACAAACAGACCCCCTGTCACTGTGATGGCAATGTGAAAGCGCAGGTAGCGTTTGTTACGTGTGTCTGTTCTTTTTACAAAACAAAAAAGGCAAAAAAAAAAAGAAAAAAAAAAGAGAAGATAATAATAATAATAACCTAATATAAATTTGTAGTGTTCCTGTTCTTTGTATTTTTAGTTGCATCTTATTTATACTGCGCAGTGTAGGCATGGGTTGCATGTCAGTTTTCTATGCGGGCACCATGACAACATTATAACTGTGTATTATAAATCATTTTTACCTTTTTAAACAGAATCATTGTGTGGAATTTCTATACTGCAAAACAAAAAACACTACATGACGTACTCTATTCATT